GCGGACAAGCTCTCGGCATGCGCCGTCCCCTGTGTCTTCCTTGGTTTCCCAGTGGACTCTGCCGACTGGTCCTTTTACCACCCTCCCCTCCACCAGTTCCTAGACTCCCGTGACGTCTGGTTTGACGAGTCCGTGTCCTACTACACCCGGTACCCCTGTCGAGGTCTCCCGGTACCCCCTCCCCCTCTTTTCCTCGCACCCTCTCCTCCTCCTGCTCCCGCTCTTCCGGTACCCCCGCCCCCCCCTGGTCCTGCCCCGTCTGGTGTGTCCCACGTTACCCCTCTACCCTCGGTCGCGCGTCAGGTAGCGTCTCCCTCCCCGCAGTCCTCCTCACAGTCCCCTCAGCAGCCTTCGGCACTTCCGCGACAGGTTACTGTGGACTCGGTTGGTGTTGGAGCTGGAGGTGCAGCCACTGGCGGTGCTCGGTCTGGGGGTCCTCGGTCGCGGGGTGCTGGAGCTGGAGGTGCTGGCGCAGGTGGCGCTAGCTCTGGGGGTGCTGGAGCTGGAGGTGCTGGCGCAGGTGGCGCTAGCTCTGGGGGTGCTGGAGCTGAAGGTGCTGGCGCAGGTGGCGCTAGCTCTGGGGGTGCTGGAGCTGGAGGTGCTGGCACTGGTGGTGCTAGTTCTGGGGGTGCAAGAGCTGGAGGTCCTGGCACTGGAGGTGCTGGTTCTGGGGGTGCTGAGTCTGAGGAGTCTGACCCTGGTTCTGCGGAGTCCACTCCGCCTCCCCACCGCCACGACACACGACTCCAGGCTGCCCGCCGGCGTGAGCGTGAGGAGCAGGAGCGGTTGGAGAGGGAGCGGCAGGAGCTGCGGGTGCTGGACCTTCTGGAGCAGCAGCGGCAGCAGCAGCAGTAGCAGCAGCAGCAGCACCCCCAGCAGCAGCCGCAGCAACAGCAGCCGCAGCCGCCGCCGCAGCCGCAGCAGCAGCAGCCGCAGCCGCCACCGCAGCTTCCTCTGGAGCGGCGGTTGCTCCCACCTGTGAGTGGCCTGCGGGCCCTTGGCTTTTCCTCCTCTCCTCCTGTCCGCTCCCAGTCTCCTCATCTGTTTGTTCCTCCGTTGCCTCCTCCTGACGACCGTCCAGCGGTCTAGTCTTCTCCTCCTCCCCAGTCTCCTCCTCCTTCGGTCCGTCGCGACTTGGTCACTCGTTGCCATCCGCGTGCTCGTCACTCGTCCCCTGTTACTGACCTCCACACTGCCCTCCTTTGTACGTCTCGTCGTCGTTCTCCTTCTCCTGTGTCCGTTCTCCCGTCTCCTCCTCCGTCCTCTCTCCCAGCCCTCCCCACTCCTATCACTGACTACTACCGCACTGTTCGTCCTGTTGCCGCACGTGTCCTCGCCACTCTTGTCACCGACTCTCGTTTCCCTCCGTCGTCGGTCTCTGCTCTTACTGCCGATGTCGCTGAGTCTGCTGCCGCCAGCCGCCTTGACTACGCCACCCGTGTGGTGCCAGCTCCTCCCTACCGTCCTCTGTCCGTCGAGGGTGAGTTTGCCCTTGGCTGTGACGTCCTAGAGGACAAAGAGTCTGAGCTGGAGTACTGGGCAGCCGCTTCTCCCTCTGTGTGTGCCATGCTGCTCTCCCCTGAGGGAGACCCCGACGCCCTTGACATACCGACTCCTCGCACTTACCGCGAGGCAGTGTCAGGGGCGTGGGCCTCTCAGTGGAAAGCGGCTATGGACTCAGAGTTGGCGTCTTGGAGATCCACAGGCACCTACGTTGACGCAGTTCCCCCTCCCGAGGTTGTATTTTGAGCTGCAAATCAGCCGGAGTAAATCAGTTTGACACGGTATGCATTGTTTGGCAAACCATGCATTGTTTTTTTATTCCTGAGCTGCCCAAGAAAAAACCCAGAACTTCAGAGCTGCGTGTAGCATCTTGCGCCTGGATGGTCGTGTCCGAACACTGAATGCTTCTCGGGCCGTGCATTTATTCCAACTTGGGCTGTTACATGAATGGCCATTCCTTTCCTTGTCATTCATTTCCTCTTGATTCGACCACCTCCAGAGAATCAAGGCAGCATCAGGAGGGACCAAGCTGAGCCTGACGAGTCTCCACGGCCTCTCAGACGACATCCTCGCCCATGTGTCCACCATGAGCCATCTGAAGAGCATTGACCTGGACTCTAGCTCAGGTTTCAGTACAGAGGGCATGAAGCACCTCTACAGGCTTCCACGCCTGGAGACGCTGGATTTCAATAACACAAACCTCGATGACAGTGCCTTGGGAGGCATTGGGTCCATTGTTGGGCTCAAGCACCTCTATCTCCATCGTACCAAGGTGACAGACGCGGGTCTGCCGCACTTTGCACACTTCTCATCTCTGAAAAATCTGAGGCTCTTTGAATGCAAGGGTGTGACAAATTCTGGCATGGTGCATGTGGGGAGGCTGATAGGGATAGAGAAACTTTGGCTGCATGGCACGGCAGTCACGGATGATGGGCTGCAGCAGCTGACTGCCCTGACGAAGCTGTCAAATGGGAATATGGTCACCGATGAGGATGTGCCCAGGTGGATAGGCAGGAGGTAGGGTGACAGGCTATGGAGGGAAAGGGGTGTGGAGGAGTGTGCAAGTTGACTTGGCAAAGCCTTTCCTGTGTACAGCCTAGAGTAGCTTACCGTACGTATGATTTGTACATAAACAGCAGGGGGGTGTGTATGCATTTTAGACCATGGAGGGGGCATGCACGAGGGTGCATGGCCTTGTCAAATGTAATTCTATGCTTGTAGGCTACAGTGAGTAGCACAATAGGGAGTACAGTTGTTAGGGTTGCATATTTGTACTTCCACACTTGCTAGTTTCATCATTCCGTTGCATTCTACTCTTAAGATGGTATCATTGTAGGTTCGAGTTCCTTAGCCCTAGCCTAGCCTTAGCCTAGTCTTAGTGCCCTCCGCGCCTTAGCGCCCTCCGCGCCCTCCGTGCCCTCCGCGCCCTCCGCACGTTCGTCCCCTCCGCGCCCTCCGCACGTTAGTGCCCTCCGCGCCCTCCGTGCCCTCCGCGCCCTCCGCACGTTCGTGCCCTCCGCGCCCTCCGCATGTTAGTACCCTCCGCGCCCTCCACGCCCTCACCGCGCGCCTAGCCCGGCCCCTCCCACTGTCGCGCCCTCCCCCTACCCGTCGCGCCCTCCCCCCTGACCGTCGCGCCCTCCCCCCTGACCGTCGCGCCCTCCCCCTGCCCGTCGCGCCCTCCCCCTGCCCGTCGCGCCCTCCCCCTCCCCGTCGCGTCGCCACCCCTCCCCTTCCCCTCCCCGTCGCGTCGCCTCCCCTCCTCCTGCCCGTCGCGTTCGCCTCCCCTCCTCATGCCCGTCGTGTCGCCTCCCTTCCCCCTGCCCGTCGCGTTCGCCTCCCTTCCCCCTGCCCGTCGCGTCGCCTCCCCTCCTCCTGCCCGTCGCGTTCGCCTCCCTTCCCCCTGCCCGTCGCGTCGCCTCCCCTCCTCCTGCCCGTCGCGTTCGCCTCCCCTCCTCCTGCCCGTCGCGTCGCCTCCCTTCCCCCTGCCCGTCGCGTCGCCTCCCCTCCTCCTGCCCGTCGCGTCGCCTCCCCTCCTCCTGCCCGTCGCGTTTGCCTCCCCTTCCCCTGCCCGTCGCGTCGCCTCCCTTCCCCCTGCCCGTCGCGTCGCCCTCCCCTCCCAATCCCGTCGCCCTCCCTTGCCCGTTGCGTCAACCTCCCCTCCCCGCCCATTTCCCACCGTCAGATCCTCCTCCCACCCATTTTCACCGTCGCATTCGGCCTCCCCGCCCCTCTCTCACTGTTCATCACCTTAGCCCCACCACCGCCTTGTGCGCGGGACCCTCCCCAGCTCTGCTGACACTGGTCTATCCCTCAGCGGCTGGCAGCCGCTCTCTCTCGCCGGTCACCTAGGTTAGAGCCGTTTTAGCCGCTCATACCTCGCTCCTCGCACCTGTAGCTGGCGATCCACGATTTCACGCCGAGTCTAGGTCGCTCGGTACTCCTAGTCGCTCGCTCCGCCGCTTTCTAAACCCATTCAAGGGCATTGTGTTGGCTAGGCTGTTACGGTAGTACCGTATGGTGCTGCATTGCCCGCCCATACCATAGTGAACTGTGACTGGCAGGTTTGACTGAGCTGAGTGGCATGGTACACAGGGAGGGGTTGCAAGGGCTGTACATGAGCATGCAAGCCAGTGCCTTGCCTTGGCAAGGCTTTTCATGTACACAGCCTAGCATACTAAGGGAATACGTGACTTGTAGCATCTTCTGGAACCCCTCTGGCAAAGACTACCATATCAATGAAACAAAAACATTCTACCTGGAATGGCTAGCTCTGTATTGTTCAAAATTATTGTAGCACCAAGGCATAGGTTGTTGCAAGTACATCCCCAAATTCCAGCTCCACACTTCACCCACACAATCATCTACAAGGCACCCTGATGTGTCCCTCTGAGCACAGGAATATTTTGCTGGGATGGGAGACAAGTGAAGGGCAGGCATGGCAGTGCTTGTGCAGGGCTGAGGGCACTGACGATATGCAAAAACAGAAGCGATCTCGGAATGGGAGAGGAGTAGGATGCATAGTATGGAGTGAGGTATGCGATGCAAAGGATAGAGGGGATGGGACAATAAGAGATGCAGGGTGATGAAGGCTGCAACACATCTTGGAAATATTGCAGAGAGTGGGGGAGGGGAGTCAAGACAACTGGCAGGAAGGAGGTGAAATGGATGTGCAGAGAACAACCAGTCCAACCTTCAGACTTCCAGCCTTTCCAGGATGCCCGAAGCATAACCTCCCCTGACTCGTCCTCTAAGCTAAAATAATAATATAGGCAATGAGCGGTGCGCAGACATGAGAGGGCACAGTACTGATAATTCGCAAAATCAGAAGCGGATTGGAAGGAACAGAGTATCAGGATACACACCAGAGGATGAGCTATGGAAGGAGATGTGCATGCACACCTGTGGCATCACTTGTGTTAGGGCGCACAAGCACGGCAGTTCATGTATCATTGATTGCCATAAGCCGTGGACCTACCGATTTAAATTCCTATTTACTACTGTTGTGCTAGAAGCTGCGCGTAGCAGAGCCATGCCTTCACCATGGTAACATGGCGTAGAGGGATGTGAGGCTCATGGAGAGGGCAACTGAGGGAAGGAGATGTTTGGGACACGGGCCTGCAACTGCTAGAAGCTGCTGGAGGGAGACAAGGGGAGGACACAAGAAGTGAGGGGTCGGGAAGGAAGGGGCCGGAAGTGTGAAAGATGGAAATATAGAAGAAACCGGTTGATGTACGTGTGGCATGGGGTGACGTGATGGGCACGGCATGATGGAGCTGCGCGAGTGAGGTGCTGATAGGTAGAAGGCACGAGGGTGGGATAGGGTAAGCCACGAGTGTTTTAAACACATAAGTTTCCTGAAAGCCCCCATGCCGGCCTGCCCCATTCCGCCCTGCCGCATGCTGCCCTGTCGTTTGAGAGCCACGCTACCCTGTCTCTGCAGCACCATGGCGCTGCCACTGCTGCCAAGGCTGCGCCGCCTCATGGCCACGCTGATACTGTGACAGCAATCCACACTACTGCCCACCATGCCGCCGCCACCGCCGTTGTGGGCACTCGCGGTGCTGCCATGCTGCGGGCACTGGGGGAAGCCCAGGGAAGAGGAGGTGGGTGTGGGCATGATCACGCCCGTGAGAATGGCATCCGTGAGTGCTGCATCAGCTGCCAGCAGTCGTGCACGCCCCTCCTCCATGCTCGCTCTCCTCCCAAATATGCTGCCTCTACTGCCCGTGCTTCCCATGCTGCCTATGCTGCCTGTTCCTGTTGCTGGCCGCCACAATTCCTCCATGTCCGGGTGCCCCTGTCTCCCCACCCCTCCCCCCCCCCCCCTCCCCCACCCTCGCCCTTGTGCCTGCGCGCATGTCCGTATTGATCAAACTGCCGCTCATGCTCCCTCACCCCCCCTTCCCCCCCTTCCCCCCCTTCTCCCCCCTCACTCCCTCCCTCCCATTCTCCCCCCCATGCTGCCCCCAAGTCGTCTCCCAGCGGCAGCAGCGTATGAGAGGCGCACAGCAGTGCGGGCGAGGCGCGCAGAGGAGGGGCTGAGGCAAGGGGCCTGACACGGGCAGAGGGGGGGGGGAGAAAGAGGGGAGCCGAGGTGCTGGTGGGACGAATGTGAGAAGCAGAGAAGAAAGTGGTACTGCAGATACTGAAGACACGTGATGTCATATAGTATGGCGTGGGGGACAGTCACAGCGGTCTTGCATGCGCGAATCATACCTAAGGAGCAGGGGAGGGCGGCCACTGAAGCAACGTGCTGGACACAACCACCGCCACCATCTGCGCCACCACGGCCGCCAGTATTCGCGTTCCCCTGCTGCTCTCGACTCCTCCTTCCTTCCCCCACCACCTCGCCCGCCCCTTCTGCTACCCCCTCCCACGCTCGCTGCCTCTCTCTCCTCTCTTCGGCCTGCCGTTCCCCTGCACACGCCGCCCATCTGCCAGCGCTGCCACAGGCGCGGCGGCCAAACAGCCCCTAGAGTGCTGTTGGGCTTACTTGGGCGGGCGGCGGCACAGAGTAACGTGGCAGGGAGAGCAAGGAGCTCGATAGATGGTTGGGATGACGCTGAAGCGGCAGGGAGGGTGAGGAGGAGGGACACGGGGAGAGCGAGAGGAGGGGTAAGCGGGGAGGGAAGGCAAGGAAACGGGGAGGGAAGGAGAAGAAAGAAGGTGAGATGAGGGCGGTGGGGGCGGAGAGAGGGGATTGGAGGGGCAGACATGGCTGAGGAGTGAGGGTGTGGCACGTAGGGCGGCCGAGGGGCGGCAGCAAGCAGGGGGGGCAAGGCACAGATGCGCACTGCTGCGGCAGCAGCAGCAGCAGCAGCAAGACTCACCTCGCCCGCCCACTGCTCTCTGGTCAGCGACCGCCAGCTCACCACGCGCCTCTCCGGGCCACTCACTCGCACGCCCCGCTCCCGCGCACGGTGCACCTATCCTTGCACTCTCCACTTCTTCCTCCCCCTGATCCTGCCCCTCCCCCACCCCACTCTCCTCTTCGCTGTCCACGCCCTGCACTGCCAGCTCGCCCACCCCACGGTGGTGTCCTCCCTCTCCTTCCTCGCCCACCCCCCTTGCCGCCCGTCTGCCCAGCGCCGCTAGCTCGTCCATTAGCACTGCTCGCCGCCGCCGCCGCCACCGCCTCCCATGCCCACTCGCCCTCCCTCACACTCGGGCAAGTTGCCGCGGGATGGGGAGCAGACGGAGGAGATTGTGAAGTGAAGATTGGGGAATCGTGGAAGAATTCTTGGAGAACCTGAAGCGACAATTCCTGGTGCAGACTCTAGAGAAGCTCCGCGAGTTCGCCCACTTCGAGCGGAAGGGCGAAGAATCCCTGCTGGGATACTACGGGCACCTTAAAGAGCTGGCGCTGGATATGGACTGCACGGACGAGCGGCAGCTCATCGGGAAGTTTCTGAACAGGATGGATCAGAGCATGGTGAAGGAGCTACGGAGCAAAGTGTTTGAGATGGGATGGGAGGCGTCGTTGCAGCAAGTGTACGAACTGGCGTGCCGCTACGAGACAGGACTTAAGCTGTACGAGCTGGAGAGAGCGGAGTCGAGGAGCGTGGAGAGGCGACGAGGCGTCTGGATGGCTAATACACATGTGGACCCGGGGCGACGAGAAGAAGCGCCGGGCGCAGCCCGCCGCAAATGCCACCGATGGGATGCTGGAGAACCCCTGGGTGAGGGAGCAGAGGTGCGCAGAAGACCCGGACTTCGAGGACTCGGTGTACCGTCATCCCAAGGAACGGATGGTGTGCCAGTCGACGGTACTGGCGGCGGCGAAAGAATCTATAGCAGTGGGAGGCATAATCGACACAGGTGCACACCACGTGTTCATCGGAAAGGGGCTCGCGGAACAGATGCTGTTGCACGAGGAAGGGAGGCTACGGGAGCGCGGATTCTCCGTGATGACAGTGTCAGAAATGTGAAGGAAGGAATGAGAACAGAGAAGAGGGGTTTCACTAGCAAACATTGGGATACATATAGCAAACCCTAACAGGGCTGTACTCACTATAGAGTACCCCACTGCAGACTAGTGAAATATAACATTCTGACACACCCCCATAGTCAAAGTGGGGTATAATCAGCACAGCAAGCAGTCACAGAGCAGGTTCATAAGTACAAGCAAAGCTAGAGGCATTCACAAGGAGGAGGAGGCGGGACTGTGAGAGGAGAGGAGATAGGAGGCGACGGCTGAAGCTGCAGACACACGGGCAACAGGAGCGGCGCGCACGGTGGCTACCGGAGCAAAGGGCCCTGGACTACAGGAGTAACTGGCTCTGCGGCTAACTCTGAGCGGCAGGAGCAACGGACCCACGGGCGACTGACGCAGCAGGCTCGCTGGGCTACCGGAGCAGAGCCCCGGACTACTGGCGCTGCTGACGACACGACGGCAGCCTCCGCTCAACCTCCCCCAACTGTCCCACCCCCCTTTCACACACCCCTTGCTGCACCCCTAGCTCCACTCCCACGTCACCCCCCTAGCGCCACTCCCTCGGCTCCCACACACCCACCCCCCTCAGCGGCAGCTGCAGCAGTGGGAGACGGAGGAGGAGGAGGAGCAGGGGATGGCTCACACACCCGCCACCCCCATACCCGCCACCCCCATATCCCCAACGCAGGGCAGAAACGCGGGCAGCAGCTGAGGCGGCGTGTGAGCGGAAGTGGGGCGGCGCGCGCGCCCCCAGGGCGCCACGATGAGCGACGGGAGGGGGCGACGCGCGGGCCCCCAGGGCGCCGCGACTGGCGACGGGCAGGGCGGCGCGCGGGCCCCCAGGGCGCCGCGACGGGCGACGGGAGGGGGCGACGCGCGGGCCCCCAGGGCGCCGCGACGGGCGACGGGCAGGGCGGCGCGCGGGCCCCCAAGGCGCCGCGACGGGCGACGGTATGGCGAAGGGCCGCGCGCGGGCCCCCAGGGCGACGCGACGGGATCGCGGGGGGCGCGCGCGGCTCCCCAGGGGCGATGCGACGGTCGACGGGGGGGACGCGCGGGTCCCCGGGGGCGGCGCGACGGTCGACGGGGGGGACGCGCGGGTCCCCGGGGTGACCCGCGAGGCAGGAAACCGCCGCGCGCCTCGGGGCGCACGGCGGGCAGAAAACCGCCACGCACCCCGAGCGCGCGGCGGGCAGAAAACCGCCATGCGCCCCGAGCGCGTGGCGGGAAGAAAAAAAACGTCGTGCGCCACGGGGTGCGCGACAGACAGGACAGCAGCGGAAGCAAGTGGGCCCACAGGCCAGGAGCGTAGTCGCTCTGATAGCATGTCACAATCCTAGCTACAGCTTAGTAGCCATGGCTAGGGTTTAGGTTTTACGAAGAAGAAATGAGAACAGAGAAGAGGGTTTTCACTAGCAAACATTGGGATACATATAGCAAACCCTAACAGGGATGTACTCACTATAGAGTACCCCACTGCAGACTAGAGAAATATAACATTCTGACAGACAGCCGAAGGCGGGGAGCCCAAGTGGATCCCCTGTACCCGGCGCCTGGTTGAGATAGTGCTGAAACATGGGGAGAAGGACGGGTGCAAGGTTAAACTGCTGTGCGGGGTGACCGAGTCGGAGGATTACGACCTGCTGGTGGGGATGCGACTCTTGTATGCGGTGGGGGCGACGATCTGCACATGGCAAGAGAAGGTTGTATATCGCCCGCAGTTCTGGATACCGAGGGGACCAAGGGGAACGCTTCCCGTGCGCTTCGTGCACCAAGAGCCCAAAGCTGCCTACCAAGCGCAGATGGTAGATCTAGAAGATCAGCTGGGGGAGATGAGCTGGTATGAGGCAGAAGCGGAGCTGCAGGCGTGCAAGCAGCGAGAGGTGTGGGCGGAGAGGAAGGAGATAGTGCCAGGGGAGATTCTGGACAAGCGCATCCTTCAGAAGCCAGTGAGGATGCTGAAACTCTTCGGCGGGCTCTGAACGGGACTAGCGGCGGCACTGAAAGCGGGATGCGTGATCGATAAATGACTTACGTGGAGGCAAATCCAAGGATAAGAGTGATGGCGCAACACCACGTGGAGATGCTCAAGCATACCTATCCGGGGCAGATCTTGGATGGTGCCACCGACGGCAACTGGGAAGGGGCGATGCACGATGTCAGAGAAATCACAGAGGCGCGGGTGGCATCATGGGGGAGAGTAGACGTGCTGATCGCCGGTTGGGAGTGCCAAGGAGTGACATGGGCTGGACTCGGGACGGGCATGGATGATGAGCGGACCGCCCTGTTCGAACATCTAGTGCGCATCATGCAGCTAGTATATCGGCAGCATGGAGAGTACATGTACGTGCTGGAGAACCTGAACTTCGCGACAGATCTTAGAGAGCCGGTGCAGGCGGCACACCTGCGGGTGACCTCAGTGCTGGGGGCAGGAGTTGCGATGGATGCTACGCAAGCAGGATCCCGAGCGCACCGAGACAGGCGGTACTGGCAGAATGGCATCTCGGAAGGACGACTGAGGCTGGAGCTATCAAAAATGGAAAGGGTGGTGGCGCGATTGGTAAGGGACATCCTGGAGCCAGATCATGAAGAAGTGCCAGTGCTGTTGAGCCAAGGCAGGCCTGGCCAACTCTGGTGGCTCACTATGGCTCGCATGCATTTCAGATGAAGGGAGGGGTGCCACGCCCGGGGATGGTGAGGAACCAGAGGACCAGGGAATGAAGAGAGCCAACGGCGCTGGAGCGGGAGCTGGCCATGGGCTTCTTGCCAGGAGCAACGGCGGCACCTGGACCAGGGAATGGGGAGAGCCAACGGTGCTGGAGTGGGAACAAAAACGGGCGCTGGGGCAGGGCATGGACGCACAAGCGATGGAATGGCTGCTACACACTGTGAAGGTGTAGCTGCTACTCTGGGACATGGATACACGGGTGGAGGAGAAAGAATGGTGGACTGAAGGAAGCGGCGCCAACAGCGAGGCACAAGGAAGGCTGGAGGCGGACAAATGGAAGTTGGAAGCATTGCTGGGAAGCGAAGAGGAAATCCGGAAGAACGGCTGCCCCCCAGGGGAGGAAGATCGTGTGGCTATTCGCAGCCGGTTGGCCAAACGAAGCTATATACAGTCGTTCATGGCGCTAGAGGAAAGCGCTTGGGAGATACCTGCAGAGCAAATTGCCGCAGGAGCAAGTGGAGGAGAAGAGCCATGGACGGTGGGAGCAGCCCTCACATTAGAAGAATCAGAGAGGGTGAAGGAGATGCTGAAGCAGCACCAAAGAGCCTTCGCTTATACACTCAAGGAGTTGGGCAGGAGCAAGATAGGCGAAATGAAGATCGAACTGACCTCGGAGTCACCCACGTTCCAGAGTAAGCGGCGGATGACGAGGGCGGACGAGGAGGTGTGTAAGGAGAAGTGCAAGGAACTACATGAGGTTGGGCTGATACGGTAGTCTACATCGGAGTACGCCGCCGCGACTATGGCGGCAGCGAGGAAAGACATGACGAGGGAGATTCTCTCCATGCGCATGTGCGGAGACTACCGTGACCTGGATAAGATCACGAAGGCGAATAGGTATCCCATGCCGACGCCAGAGGACATATTCGATAAGCTGGTGGGCGCGACGGTGTTCAGCACGCTGGATCTAAGGCAGGGTTGTAACCGAATCCAGATCAGGGAAAAATATCGCGAGAAGACAGCTTTTCACGGGGTGGACGGACTATGGGAATGGAACGGGATGCCGTTTGGCATGAAGAACTCCTCGGCGGTGTTCCAGCAGGTGATGGACACGATCCTGAGAGGCACTGATTATGAGGCCTGCTACATCGACGACGCCGTGATCTTCAGCAAGGATCGCGCTTCGCATGTGGCGGATGTGGAACGGGTGCTGGGGGCAATGATGGGCGCAGTGCTAACCTGCCACCCGACCAAGTGCAAGTTCGGGGAAGGGACCGTGAAGTACCTGGGCTTTGAGGTGTCGGACGGAACACTATCCATTCAGGAGGCAAAGGTGGCGATCTTGGATAAGGTGGCGGTACCCACAGATTGGAGCAGGCTGAGGGCCATCCTTGGTTTCCTCAACTACTATCGGAAATTTTGGAAATTTGTGCCGAATTTCAGCAAGAGGGCCTCCGCCCTGAACCAGCTCCTGGGGGAGGGCAACGCCTGGAAGTGGGGTGC